GTTCCACGTGCCATGTCTAATGGATGTTAGTTATCAGTTATCTCCTGTTAATTCCCCTCTCCAAGTTCTCCACTGCCTTAACTAGGTATTGAACCTGCAACTCTTTGGGTCCTGTCACTGGATCTAACCAACGCCTTTATCCACTGTGCCATGTGTCCTTAAGGAGTCCGAATAATGTAAATAGTGTGAATTCAAATTATGATTGTTAATTATATGTTTGTATCAGAATGTCCGGATAAATATCAGTTAAGAGTCATTTATCTCTCTTTTCTCTCTGTTAAAAATTAACATAAAAGGGGTATTACTGGAAGAAAGGTGAAGCATTATGTGAATTTTAAAATGTCTTTTATCCCTCTTTTTAGTAGCACTTTTAGGGGCGCTTACGAAATGACTCTTATGACCAGTGAAATTTGCAGAGAAGCAAACATCAAAATGGCAAAATATTTTTACAATATACAAATTGCATGAAATATAATATAAGCTTTGCACAAAATTTCCTTTGTACGCCTCAAACTATAAAGGCAGGTTAACAAGTCTTTCAAAATGCAAATCTGTTTTCTCATAGAAAACAACAATTCATGTAAAAAAATGTTTTTCTTTAAAACAAAAGAATTTTAACAATTTTCCTTTAGAGCATATTTGATTATGACATATTTGATTCACTTTGGTTCTATTAGCGAATTCTTATTGTTATATTTCTAAGCAGTCATTAAATTGTTAGAAATTTTAATAGTCATTAAATTGTTAGAAATTTTAATAGTCACTAAATTGTTATAAATCTTAATAGTCATTAAATTGTTATAAATTTTAATAGTCATTAAATTATTATAAATCTTAATAGTCATTAAATTGTTATAAATCTTAATAGTCATTAAATTGTTATAAATCTTCGTTGTCATTAAATTGTTAGATATTTTAATAGTCATTAAATTGTTATAAATCTTCGTAGTCATTAAATTTTTATAAATTTTTGTAGTCTTTAAATATTATACAGTAGAAAAAGTAGAAAAAAATTATAAAAATTAAATCAGAATTTTTAAAATTTTCCTCAACATTAAGATATAAGAGGTTATTCAAATTTAAATAAAAAGAATTATTTTTACTGAATTTTGGCAAAAATGATGGATAAAAGAAATTGAAACTATCACTACCCTATTTTTAAGATTGCAATAGATTGATTTTCGAATTCATTAAGAGTGGATTATACTATTTTTAATAAAAGTTTTCTCATGTTATCTATATTCCTCCTGGCCCAATAGTAATTCCCATAGGTCCGATAAAGTAAAACTGCTCTCGAAAATGACCTCCAATCTTTTGTTAACTGGGGCAAGGAATATCTTGCAGATTTTAATACTTCCATAATGAAACTGCTATCTTTTAATCACCTCAGAGAACCTTTTCTGACAGTCATAAGCATGGCTGATGCTAACCTCCAAGAGAGCAACTCGTTGCATCTTCTTAGTCTTCCATTTTTCCACTGACATGAAATGAAATGATTATATTGAATCAGTTGCTAGGTCTGCATTCTTATTAGACATTTGGTTCACTATGTCGTGCCAGATAATTCTTATTCTCAGAATCTGGCTTACACATTTATAAATCTACCATTTGCCTTGCATTGAATATTGCTGCTATATCTGGTCTGGTGTCCGTGCTATATATCTCGAGATTCTTGAGAAAATCCAAAGAAGGGTCTGCAATGTCATCTACAAAGTCCTGCTGAAATAATTACGATATCTTTTGAGCCAACCCGTCCACTCAGGGTCTAAGCACCGTTTCTATCACCTCGATGTAGGCGATGACATTAATCCAGATGCATTTTAATCTAGTATGTCAATATAAAAATCTTTTTAGTAAGAATGTGATAAGATCTTATATCAACGTAGACTTGTTAGCCATCTGAATGCGTTATTTTCATTACAAGTGACACTAAGTATCAAAAACCAAACCAAGTTTGTTCACTTCTCTGAATGAACCATCACGAATTCGATAACGTTCATTTATAGAAAAGATGAGGAGAAAAAGTAAGTTTTTAAAATTACTTCATATTTAATCAACCCAATCTTGCACGGCACAAAGCTAAGGCTTTCTTTATAAAATGACTAAAAATAATAACATTATCAGAAATCTTTCTGGTTCTTTCTTGAAGTGTTTGTTGGAAATCTTACTTACATATGCTGATATCAGTCCTGATATAAGAACAATTTGTCGCGTACAGACAACTTTTGCATTTTTATCCATAAAGATAACGTTTCTACGACACAAGAGATTGAACTCGAGATCAAATGACCACCAATTCATTGTTCGAATCATAATTTCCTTCTTATGGCACTACTATCTATATATATATATATATAAAACAGAAGATGTCTGTGTGTGTCTGTTTGTGTGATTCCTTTTCACTCAAGATCCATCCAAAGGATTTTGACCAAACTTGGCACATACATTATACAATCTAAGTTCTTAGCCTAAAAAATCGATATTTTTTAAAAATCAGTAATCGATAAAGCTGATCAAAAATCGATAAATTCAACTTTTTTTCCTCCGATTTCGTTCAAACTCTGTATGTAGATTACTTACATCATGATGAGCTCAGCGATACCTCATTTTTATTTCTACGCCACTGCGTTTAGGGAAAAACAGCGACGAAACATCGATTTCAACACAAAATCGATTTCAACACAAAATTTAAACTAAAAACTCCCTCAATTTTCAAGTAATTTAATACAAACTTCATTCAATTTTAGCCTAAGTTGATTGTTTAAAAGTCATTTAACTTGATAATGGAGTTCACCCATATAGTGAAAACCCGCATAAATAGCGAAAAATGGCGATTTTTACTGGTTTCTTTCTTATGTTTTGGTCTTTTGCGGTCTGAAGTGAGTCTTCATGTTTTACTCGTTCATGTCCTCGGCTAACTTCGATTGAATAAATACAGACTACTTTTGTTATATCAGTAACTGCATCAATTCGAAATATTTTTTAATGAAAGTACTTTAAAGTAATTGAAGATAGACTCTGTTACATCTAAACATGATGCTGTTTTTGCTCCATTCTAACTGAACGTTTTTTCTGATCGACCAGCTGGCTACTAGTAAAAAATAATCGAATCATGTTCGTTGCAGAAATTTTGATCTATACAGGATTGATTTTTATGACATTAAATTTAACATTTCTTTCTTTGCAGGAAAATCTACATTACAAAAATACGTACATTCATCGAATCGTTCCGGATTTTGTGATTCAAATGGGTGACATCACAACTGGCGATGGCACTGGAGGTAAGGAAGTGATATTTATCCAAAGTACACAAATATGATATCAGTTAACGTACATGATTGCTTTACTCATATTTAACATTTAATACAGATAATCTCTTTCATAATTACTCGATTTACTATAAAAACGCAAGAGAAATAACAGCACAATCACTTAACAATGTCTTGTACTCCAGAAGAATGAGACTTCTCAGATTTCAAAAAGAAAACCGATCAAACATTGACATAAATTCAATGTGGAAAACGGTAATACAGAAAGCTAGAGAAAAACAACAATAACAAAAAATGTAATTGTACCTGATGATTGCTGAAACATTAGGTTTATAAGTCACCAAAATTCCCTCACCAATGTCCCCATGAACACATGAGCCAGTAGATAAGTGTTGGTTGATGATCCAAAAGAGACTTGAGTGTTGGCCACAGTAGATGGAAACCCGACCACAGTAGAGGAAAACGTGGCCACAGCAGAGGGACACCTGGCCACAGCAGAGGGAAAATCTGACCACAGTAGAGAGAAACAAGACCACAGTAGAGGGGAAACCTGACCACAGTAGAAGCTAAAATTGGCCACAATAGATGGAAACCTGACCACAGCAGAGGAAAACCTGGTCACAGCAAAGGGAAACCTGACCGCAGTAAAGGGAAACCTGACCACAGTAGAGAGAAACCTGACCACAGCAGAGGAAAACCTGGTCACAGCAAAGGGAAACCTGGCCGCAGTAAAGAGAAACCTGACCACAGTAGAGAGAAACCTGACCACAGCAGAGGAGAACCTGGTCACATCAAAGGGAAACCTGACCGCAGTAAAGAGAAACCAGACCACAGTAGAGAGAAACCTGACCACAGCAAAGGGAAACCTGACCGCAGTAAAGAGAAACCTGACCACAGCAGAGGAAAACCTGGTCACAGCAAAGGGAAACCTGATCGCAGTAAAGAGAAACCTGACCACAGTAGAGAGAAACCTGACCACAGTAGAGGAAAACCTGGTCACAGCAAAAGGAAACCTGACCACAGTAGAGAGAAACCTGACCACAGCAGAGGAAAACCTGGTCACAGCAAAGGGAAACCTGACCGCAGTTAAGAGAAACCTGACCACAGTAGAGAGAAACCTGACCACAGTAGAGGAAAACCTGGTCACAGCAAAGGGAAACCTGATCGCAGTAGAGAGAAACCTGACCACAGTAGAGAGAAAACCTGACCACAGCAGAGGAAAACCTGGTCACAGCAAAGGAAAACCTGACCCAGCAGAGGCAGCAAAGAGAAACTGCAGGAAAGACCCAACCACAGTAGAGAGAAACCTGACCACAGTAGAGGAAAACCTGGTCACAGCAAAGGGAAACCTGACCACAGTAGAGAGAGAGAAACCTGACCACAGAAAACCTAGAAAGACAGTAAAGAGAAACCTGACCACAGCAGAGGAAAACCTGGTCACAGCAAAGGGAAACCTTACCGCAGTAAAGAGAAACCTGACCACAGTAGAGAGAAACCTTACCACAGTAGAGGAAAACCTGGTCACAGCAAAGGGAAACCTGACCACAGTAGAGGGAAACCTGACCACAGCAAAAGGAAAGAAAACATGGAGACTTGAGTTTTTAATGGAATTAACTAAAACTGAGATATCCAGAGGCATGGCAAGTGTGATTAGGACAGTCTACCTACCTGGACTAAACGAAGGGTTCGGTTCGAAATTCGGAAATATCACCTGAATAAGACCTGAGCGTACAAAGGTGAAAATGTCGTGAATATGACAATATAGATGAAGACAACACTCCGAATAGTGTAAATAGTCTAAATAGAAAACGCATTGTCAAATAAATCGAAATTAGAAATTCTATTTTCAGCCGGGGGTATTTTGGTTGGCAATTTTCAAATGAAAGAAATTCAATTCTTCATTTTGTTCAGATTGGCAAAAATATGTCCTCCTGCGGTGAATCGGGAAATGGAAAAATCGCTTTACATGAAGGCAAATGAGGCAGAGTTTGTTTAACTCAACCTAGGAACGGCGATAAAGTGTCGTCATCCTATGATTAATATGACTGAGCATTCGGTGGAGAAAGCAGTGATGAATTTAAATGGTGGGCAGATCTTTGGAGTATAGGCCTACTGTTACTTATCCAAATATGCCAGTATTTACTTAATCATTGAACAGCGAACAAATATGTGACTGAACATGACCTAGCCAAGGAATTTATCTGAGACGGCCATAGACCAAAATCAAACATGGCGGATGTTTCTTTTGCTTTGTTTTGTTTTACGGCATATCAACCTCAACGGGTTATTTAATGCCGATAATATTTTTATTGCTGGTAATTTTTTTTTTTTCAAATATGTATTGCTGGTAATAATTTTTCTTCATAAATTTATTTCTGGTTATTTTTTGAAAAATATTTTTGGTATTAAAACCTTTTTTTATACTTTCATAGTGTTTTGAACCCAGTTTGTGAGTTAAATACTTGCCCATAGCTGGGACCTTAACCGGTGCTACCACCCCGGGTCAGGGTGGACCTGGGACCACCAGCAATTAAAAGGTGGTTCCACGCTCCTCAAAACCTGATCAGAGGCACACGTTGGACGTAGTTTATTGTCTTACCCAGGGCACGACGGATGTAGCTTACCGTCATACCCAGGTTTAGGAGCGATAACAAAAAGACAAAATTTATTAAGAGTTACAATGGATGGGAAATTGTGGAGAGCTATGATCGCCAACGTCCTGAAGGTACAAATAAAAAGAAGGAAACTTCTGAAGGAATGTAAAGTTTCACAAGATAGAGACACGACAGATTTAAATTCTGTAAAACAGATTCCTCATAATATTCATCAGAAACAAGAGATTGCACTGTGCCAATGTGCCAATGTCCCAACTGTAGGACGGCTGCCCATCTTGAAAATCAACATTCTAAATTTTGCATCAAGAAGCTGTTATTGTTATTATTATTTACCTTGTTCGTAAGTCGAATTCTTCTTTTACCAAAGACACATATTTGATGTCATTTCAAGCACATTTAAGAAATCTTTCATATATTTTCCTGTTGATCCACGAACTTAAAACACAAAAACTAAAAAGCATATTTTTTTTACTATTATGTAGTAATAATATATTTGTATATAATATAAGCCGTTTTACAATGAGATACAACCTCAAGGAAATAATTTGATATTTGCATTCAACTAATTATTCGCGTGAGTTACGCCCGAAGATTATTAATGTGAAAGTGTTTTTTTTTATTGTAAATATTATGTCACAGCTGGAGCTAACCCTTTTCTGAAACACATAATGAAAAAGAAGACTTGAAGAATTTGATACTCAGGGGAAGACAAGAGAAGTAGAGAGAAGCAATGAGTAATCTGCCTAACGTGCTTTTTCTAAATGAATGGCAGGACAGAGATTGCTAGAGGTAATAAGGGGAAAAACATTGCTAAAATCTACAATGATAGGAAGCAATACTTGCCCATATCCTGGATGAACACAGCACATAAAAGGAGCTAACACTTTCGATCGAATACAGATCCTAACGTAATCAATGTCTGAAGTTCGGAAGTGTTGTTCTATTCGATTAAATATAAAGATGAACATCATCATATCACATTGTTGTCTAGATCACTATATTTCAGCCTATGTGCTCCCCGGACTTCTAGTATTTTCTGGAAATTAAGTCCCGCCATTATTCAATGAATTGTTCGAACTAAAACCTTCAACTATTGGTAAAGGAGAAAATTGTATCTTCAATAATTTGTTAATTTCTTTTCTTTTTATGTGCCATGCCCTTTCAGGATGTAGGTTATCATGGCTCTCCAACCTCCCTCTATCTCTTACGGTTCTCAACAAGTTCCCTCCCTCTGCTACCCCACCCGCCAACACCACATTCTGTCATTCCCTTGCTTAAGCCTGCTAGATATGTCATGCGTTGTTCTCCCATGTCTCCCTTTCCCTCTATTTGATTCATGAGTAGCAGATTCTCCAGGCCCTCCTTTCTCATTATGTGTCCCAGAAACTTCAGCTGCCTCTTCCTGGTGTTAATATAAAGCCTCCTCCTTGTTTGCATCCTCTCTAAGACCTCATCGTTGTTCACACACTCGGTCCATGGTATCTTTAGCATCCTTCTGTCGAACCACATCTCCGTTGCCTCGAGTTTCTTCTTCATCTTTGAGGAAATCATCCAACATTCGCTGCCGTAAAGAAGGACAGATGTCAAGTAACAGCTCAGTATCATTTTCTTTGTTA